AAGAGATCCACTGCGTCATGGAGAGTTTGCTCTTTTCCCAGTTGACCCGAAGGCCCATCCAGCTGAGGTGCGAGAGCACCAAGTCCCTGTGTTCGCACAACTGATCCTGAGACTGAACTAGTATGAGCCAGTCGTCGAGGTAGTTGAGAATGTGAACACTCTGCTCTCTTAGGGGAACAAGGGCTGCCTCCGCAACTTTCATGAAGACCCGGGGCAACAGGGACAGCCCGAAGGGCAGGACCTAGTACTGATATGCTCATCCTTCAAACACGAACTGCAGCAATGGTCTGTGGTGCGGAAGGATCGATACATGAAAGTATGCGTCCTTCAGGTCGATCGCAAACCAATCTCGGGGACGGATGCACCTGAAGATGCGTTTCTTCGTCAACATCTTGAACAGTAACCAGTGAAGGGCCCGGTTCAAGACATGCAGGTCCAAGATTGGTAGTAACCTACTGCCTTTCTTGGGTACAATGAAGTAGGGCCAGATTGAGACCACTCTCGTGCAGGTCCCTCAGTGCTTTAGCCTGAAAAACCTGCAGTAACGCCATAGCAAGTAAGGCGGAGGCAGCTTCTCCACAGGCCACATAAGCATCGCCGGACAGACCAGACGAGTACTTACAGACCCGGGAGGGGAGGCACGGTTTGCCCTGCCGGGTGGAGCCAATATTAGGACACAACTGCATCGCAACCAACCGCTCCACCAGGGGGAAAGGTGCCTTCCACGACCTGGTAAGTCCCCTCATGCACCTCCGGGAAGAATGGCATCGGGGTGGGGTGTTGAGAACCAGTGCGGGCCACCCCGAAGAACCAATCGTCCAACCTTGAGGGCTCGGGACACGGTGGGGGTTTCCACTCGAGCCCTACTCTCACGGCGGCCCGGGAAAGCATAACCGTCATTTATGGATCCGATTCAGGCATTGCTACAGCCCCGGAGGGCAGCAGCGCAGCCGAATCTGGTAACGACCAGGTAACGACCGCATCCAGAAACACACGGGGGATACATTGTCTGTAGCAAGATGCAACGTCGTCTTTACAAAGACGTAACGTCGAGTTTGCCAGACGCAAAATCGTCTTTAAAAAGATGAACCTGTGAATGCTCTTTTAGGAAAAAAGCTCTTTTAGCGTGCTGAAGCGCACAGGGAAGATGGCCGCCAGCATCACAAGCAGGGGGTAGTGCAGCCTGTGTGCAACCCACTCGACACGGGAAACCACCACCGCTGAAGCGTCGTACCGCCAACACCAAGAGCGCGCTGAGCTCGTTCAGTCTCTCAGTTGAGTAGTCAGGAGCAAAACGATGTGATCGCTCAGCTACAAAGCGAAAAGCTGGTATGCGTTGCACATGCTACCTTTTTATGCTCACGCTGTGATCAGCGGCAGCTGGATGCAATCATCAGATGCCAATGTCCATTGGCTCGTTTAGTTTACACTCGAAGTAGATTGGTCTCTCGAAGCGAGACCCAATTCGTCAGTCACGACATAATTTTCTGTATCAAAGGTAGGTCTAGATATTGACGGTAAAATAGAATTTGAAAAAAAATAAAGTCGCTAATAAATTTAATTCATTCTTTTCATTAATTGCTAATAGCCTAGTTGATAAGCTTCCTCTGTCCAAAGGAAATTATGGGATTGATTTTGTTAAGAGATTTTATTTAAAACAAGGGGTGTTGCCAAATAGTTTATCTTTTGCTAAAGTTAATGTAAATCAAATTACTAAAATGCTAGAAGAGCTTCAAGTGTCCAAGTCAACTGGGCTGGACGATATTCCAGCTAGATTCTTAAGAGATGCTGCAGATATTATAGCTCCAATTATTACATTTATTGTTAATCTTTCCTTGGAAAATGGTATATTTCCATCTGATATGAAGTTAGCTAAAATTATTCCGTTATTCAAACAAGGTAACAGATACGATCCTGGAAACTATCGTCCAATCTCCATTCTGAATGTGGCCTCAAAAATTTTAGAAAGAATTGTGTATAAACAGACGTATGAGTATTTAAGTAAGAGTAGTTTAATTTATGATTTTCAGTCAGGTTTTAGGAAATCTTATTCGACTGATACTTCTTTACCTTATTTAACAGATTTTATAAGAAGGCAGATTGATGAAGGTAAAATGTGTGGTATGGTACTTTTAGACCTCCAGAAAGCATTTGACACTGTGAATCATTCAATACTTTTAGACAAGTTAAGTGTCATGGGTTTTTCAAATAAAGTGATAGCCTGGTTGAATTCTTATTTAACTGGGAGAGTTCAGAGAGTAGAAATTGATGGGGTGTAACAGAGCTCCTTCATATTTTAATGTATTTTTCCTAGGGTACATGAGCAACATGGTTATAAAACTAGGCAAAGTGTCCTGGATATTACATTATGTCGTTTTAAAACTATGTATGGTCATAGGTCTTTTAGATATTCTGGGGCACTTTTGTGCAATAAGTTACCTCTGGACATTAAAGGTATTTCCAATATGGTTAGTTTTAGTTTAAAAGCTAAAAGTTGGTTCTTAAGTCAGTTGTTTTGTTGATGAATTTGCATTACGTACGTGGTTATTTGTGACTGTAAAGTTTTGTAAATCTGGAATTTTATTGTAATTTTTGTATTTACAGGTGCATCTCAATAAATTAGAATGTCGTGGAAAAGTTCATTTCAGTAATTCA